GCTGTGCTGGCAGGCGTGTACCCGTGTCTGGACAGGGAAGCCAGTGACAGGAGGAGACCTACTGAGGCTGTCTGGGCTGTAGGGGTCAGAGGTCGGAGCAGTGAGTGGCAGACCGGACAGCAATCCCACAGGGCAGTGCGCTTATTCTCGATCGACCGCGGCTGCGCAATATTCTGGAGATCAGGAAAAATGACAGTCGGGACCCAGGAAAGAAGAGAAAAATCAACTTTTATAACAAAGCTTAAGAGCTACAGTTGCAGGGAAGCTGCTGCTGGTCAGGAGCAGGACAGGCCTGGACGCTGGAGTCTCGGCACAGTGGAGGCGGGAGAGGCGAGAGTCAGGGCTCCTCCGTGGGGATTCCCTGCGGGGCGTCGGCGCCGCGGCTCGGGCCGGAGAGGGGAGCGGAGGGGGCGTTCAGCACGATCACCGGCTGTGCAACAGGAAAAGGAGGCGGAAGGAGGAGTTTAAGCAGAGCTTTACGGAGCCAAAGGGCAGATTCAAAGGCAAGCAGGAGGCTCCAGAGTGGAGAGGCTGGGAGTTGCTCTTTACCATGGAGGAGGCCGGCCCACAGCACCGAATGGCCTTGCAGCAATAGGAGCAGATGGTGACGCCCAGGGTGAAGTTCAAAGCAAGCATCAGGCATTGCTCGTTGTGGAAGAACATACTCAGCTCCTGTTGGCCAGAGCAAAGCCCACACACCCAGGTCAATCAGTGAATTCTCTCCCCTACCGACAGACTGGACCAATGCTACTGTCTAACCACACCTGATTCTTGGTAGAGTCACGCTAAGTGGTCCAGAGTCCTCCTTCTAGATCCCTACAATCATCAGGACTGCACCATCGCACCATATGCACCATATAGCCAGCAGCCATATCACCCTGCAACTCACAACTGGCAACCCACTGAAGCTAAGCAGGTGTGAGCCTGGTCAGTACCTCAATGGGAGACCTCCTGGGAAAAACTAAGGTTGCTTCTGGAAGAGGTGTTAGTGGGGCCAGCAGGGGGCACTCACCCTGCGGTCCATGTGGGTCCTAATGCCCCAGTATAGTGACGGGGACGCTATACCGTAAACAGGCGCCATCCTTTGGATGAGACGTAAAACTGAGGTCTTGACTTTTTGTGGTCATTAAAAATCCCAGGGTGTTTCTCGAAAATAGTAGGGGTGTAACCCCGGCGCCCTGGCCAAATTTCCCATTGGCCCTTAATAATCATGGACTCCTAATAATCCCCATCTTTGAACTGGCTTCATTACTCTGCTCTCCTCCCCACTGATAGCTGATGTGTGGTGAGCGTTCTGGTGCACTATGGCTGATGTCGCATCATCCAGGTGGATGCTGCACATTGGTGGTGGTGGAGGGGAGTCCCCATTACCTGTAAACGCTTTGAGTGGAGTGTCCAGAAAAGCGCTATATAAGTGTAAGCTATTATTATTATTATTATCGCTGACCTCCTCCTCCACACCCAGCACATGGATCCTACACTGCAATGACCATTGTAGCCATTGGCGCACGCTGTTCAACTACATTGCATGGCTCCTGTTGCATTTACTGACAGCCCGATAGGGCTGTAACGATTCCTGTTCCTCGCCTTGATCTTTGCGTTATGCGACAGAAGAAATTACTAGGTTTTCTTCCTGTTCATCCCAGAAGACGTAAAAAAGAACCTGACCCGGGAAAAGAAGATGCAACTTACAAAAAACTGTCTACAGATACGGAGCTCGGGTTGCGTGGAGTTTTCAAATCTCCAGCAAAAGTTGAAGTCAGAGACAACAATCCTGAGTATGAATTGGTAGGCGAAGAAGATGAAGAAGCCCAGGCCTGTACAGATGCTGCTGATGATCTCCATCACCAGGCAGGCTTTCATCTGCAGAGGGAGAGAAAGGGGGCTCATCAGGAATCTGCAACTCATAGCAGGAAGGCACAAGCTGATCGTGACTCCTCAGCATCTGATGGCTCCCTCTAGTGGAGTGGAGTTGTGTCACATGCTCTCCCCCAGAGACCCGACAGGCGCAGGGGGGTCTGAACTCCAAGATGTGACTGTGGGCAATGGCCAAGTGGCTCACAGGTCAAAGCCCCCATAGCTAACAGTGTAACCATAACTTCGAAGAACAGAAGAAAGGGGACAGATGAAAGCAGCCACTCTGCTCATTTAATCCATTTGCTAGTTAGTAGTTAATTAAGCCGTGAATCTCATCCAGCCAGTCAAGAAACCTTTGCTCTGAGCTGCAACAGTACATCACCTGTGAGGAGACCTGAGCCCCAGACCCATCTGTCTACAGATAATGCCCCTCTCTCCCTCTCTCTTCAAAGCCCCTTACAAAAGGCTCATGCACTTTCCCTCCCCTTCTCCCAAAACAGACCGAGCAGGCTGACCACAGCCAACCCGGGAGACCTGCAGTGGGCAGGTGAAGGCTGACTGCTGCTATCGCCAGACCCCCAGCAAACGGGCTCTGGAACAATAAAAGGGAACAGCACTGTTAAAGTTGGGGGGCCGGGGGGACAACAGTACACCTGTACTAGAGACACAAGCTTTACATTCCTCCAGCCAGGTCTGGGCTTAATAAAATGACACTCTTTCACACTTCTCCTTGACTTTCAAGTGCAAAATCGCAAGGGAAACATCTGTGGCTTGGCTAAACAATTTTCTTTAAGGGACCGCACACTTGGAAGTGTTCACCCATCTTCAAAATTTCTTGCCCTGCTCATGCTAACCCTTCAGAATCTGCAGCCAGGAGGCCATCTCCATACCCCCTGAGCTCACTGCAGCAGAGCTCTTCCAGGGGACATGTGTCCGAAAGGAAAGGGGGGTGTGGAGGGCATCAGACTGTGAGGCAAATTAATACCTTTGACTTCACTTCAAATGCACTACATTTACAATCTGGCCTGTTAACCAGAAAGGTTATAGAGACAAAGAGGCCATTAGCCCTTTCTTGCATGGCTGACAGGCTCTTATTCATCAGATTTAACCCAGAGTCTCTACATGCCTGGTTCAGCCAGTCATACCAGACCCCACCCCTGGTGCAAGAGGCGCCACCTGTTTTCATTCTGGAGGATTCCAGTGCCCCAGCTGGACACTGGGACAAAGATGGGCACCCAAGCAGAGCACGTCTGAGGCCGTGCATACTTATGATGAGGGTCACGACGATGCACAAGATTTCTTCAGGCCTGCTGATGTCCTCCTTCACCAGGACAATGCCCATGCTCAACGTGAACAAGCTCACTGTGATCTGGGTCACCTGGAACACATCGTAAAGGACACTGAAAGCCAGGAGCATTCGGGGAACCAGCAGGCCAAGGAAACAGCGCAACACTGCAGTGCCAATGTGCCACCAGACTGCTGACACCCCTAAAACTCCTCACCCCCAGGGCCTTGGGCTGACTGTCCAGGAACTTCTTCTTCTGCTCCGGGTCCTTCTGGAAGGACAGAGACAGAAGGGGCCCTTCGCTCTCTGGGCGTATGGCCGACTCCATCTCTCGCTCTCTTCCTAGGAGACAGACTCACACAGAGGATCCTTCTGAGCCCCTGATGCAGGGAGGGAGAGCAGAAGGACTGCACACTTATAAAGACACAGGAAGCAATCAGACTCCCGGTGCACCACCGACAGATCCATTCCAGGTTTTACCCCCTACACTCAACCCCGTGTGCACACAAGTTCACGGGTTTCCTTATCAAGTGTGGGCAGGGGTGCAAGGAGTTCAAATATTGTCGACTTTCTGACTTCCTGCTGAGCTCCGTCGAATATCCGGTGTTTGTAAAACCTGGAATGGACACAACAGCTTCTTAACTGGACTCCAACAGCATCAAAGATTTCTAGGAAAATTCAATTGGATCTTCGTGCATTTTCTTCAGAAAATTAATCTTTGTTATTTTAGGATTATCTCCCGATTACATGCAAAAACGCAACTAATAGAAGAGTGTTTTTTTCCGTCAAAATACAGCACAGCCTTTAAGTAATTCAGCCATCAAATACTGTTCTTCGACCTAATTCCAGAACCTTGTAGCCTGCCGACGCAAACATTTTAGTACGTCGAACTGTGGACTGGCTGGTGAAACTTTCCCGTTAGTTACAAATAAATACCGTAGGAAATGACTGAAATACACTATATGACGTATATTCGAGGTTTGCGAAAAAACACGATTTATCGACCGAGAAGAAAAAAAACAAGTTCAGCAGGCAGCAGAAAAGAGTGATCATTTCTGTAGGGTTTTTCTTGCTTGGAGACCGACGACAGAAAGAAAAATCGGATTAATTTTTCTGTACACGACTGGCCCTTCTCAGGAAAGAAAACATTCTGGGAGTGTTTTACCTGAAGTGCGGTCAGTGAAAGTTTTCCAGCAGCGACCCCTTACCCCTCTGGAAACGCGGCCACGGCTTTGTTTTTATCTTTCCACGGCCAGCGACCCCTCCTCTATCGCAGCAGAGGTTCCCTCTGGAAATCATTGAACCGAGGTCTTCTGCCAAAAAAAACTTCTCCAGCATCCTGGAGCTGCGCGGTGGCGGGGGTGGGAGGAGAGGCGAGTCGCTCCCGGCGGCAGGAGGCGCTTCTTCAGACTGAACGGCTGTGGAAGATCTCGGAGAGCTGAGAGCCGCCACGAGTTTGCATTGTGTGTGGAACGACGGCGCACAAGTTGAATTACTTACTGTGAGAAGACGGGTTGCATTAACATGATAACTTTATATGATTCAAACATCGCATTAATACAAACAAACATTCCGTACGTTTTAGCTTCGAACAGCATCAACATTTTCCGATATTATTTCAAGGAATAACTACGCCGTGCCACCGTGCTCTGTTCACTGTTTTGTGTGGACAAAGTGCTTTACTATTTCAAAACACAGTGACGGTTTACTCTACCGCGTTCATTTTTGTGAATGTAGCAAAACGTTGTGGTCCCGCTGTACCGTTCGTTAAAACAAAAGTGTTCAACCTTTTCAGTCGTCATGTTTTCGCCCCCCCAGAGGAGGAGACGCTTTTGAAATTTAGCAATATCCTGAACAGGGCAGAGAATGTATTTCCTAACGCACACGGTCCCCCAGTTCAGTCACACATTAAAAAAAAAAGATGGCTGAAAAAGCCCTTTATTGTACAGAAAACTGTGAACTGTACAGTACATACACACAAATTGACTGCGCAGCCCGACCCGCGGTGTCCGAAATTACAAACCATTTTATTTTTCAGAAGGGACGATAGTCGAATCTCTGGATAGATTCCAGCGTTTGCTCAGCGTTAAACCAGACGCGGCAGAATCCCGCCTCCTAGAGCTAAACGAACATAAATCTGTTCTTTCCACAGAAAAAGAACGCGTGAGAGCAACTCTCCTCCTATCGGATATTCTTGATAAAACTATTGGAAGTTTTTTATTTTATTTCCACCAGATCTTCAGTAGAAAAAAAAGATTCAATCGCTGTTTTGGAATAGGTAACTGTGCCAAAAGAACGCTGGTATTGTCTGTTTCTGTGTTTTGAAAATGCCGACTTTAAAAACCTAACGATCTGTGTTCGTCTCGGTGTTGTTGTTCTGTCTTGTCTGTTCCTACTAACGGACTGGAGTTTTAATTTACAGTAAAAAAATAAATGTTACTCCCTCAGGTCTTACCGTTGTCAGGGCGTTTAGCTAAACGCGAGCGCATTTCGTTGACTGCAGAAGACTTTTATTGGCAAGTTTCCTTGCGTTTATAAAATGACTTGCCCTCCTCCGGCAACTACTGAGGCTCTACATTTCTACACCGTCTCCATGTTTTTAGGAATTTATGAACGGCAGCAGGAATTGTTTCACAGCCTCGCGGTAGTAATTTTCATACTGCATGTGGGTTGTACTCGTTAAAAATAAGTCCTTGGATATTTGAAACGTTTTTGGAAAAATGCAGTGCCGTAACTTTATTTTTTGCACAGAGGCAATAATACTTCACAGTCTTGCAATTGTGATGTAGTTCACTAGGTGTGCTACAACTGAACTGCAGAACGTTTTTACAGATAATTTACTGTAATTGGAATTGCGTGTCCATTACACGGGAATCTGTTGCATATAAAAGTTTCACATATTTGCTGTGCAATAAGTATTTCAGACGCCTAATATTTCAACGCGTGTTTTGCCGGTTGTGCATGTCTACCACCACATAGCTGTTAAAAATTACCCTTTAAAAAAGTTATTGAAGAGCCTTAATCAGCCTTATTGCATTTCATATTTATGCATCTCTGCTCTCCCGACAGCCTCAAAAACTCGTGTCTTAAATGTGCTTCTTTCTTTTTTGTGTTTTTAGACAACAGAGTCTTCCAATTAGTGCGTTTCTCCCGGCCGCTGTCGCAAGACGGTCCGATAAAACACAAGTGATGGAGTCTCCTGTCAGCACCGAGCCGTCTCCTGGGAAAACTCCCCTGGTCTCCTTGACCTTCGAGAAAGACCCAGACCGCAAGAGGAAGTTCCTGGAGGCTGATCCCAAAATCTTGGGGGTGAGGTTTTCTGTGCGAGTAATCTCTTGGACAGAGGTTCCCAGCGCTTGTAGTAACCTACAGCACAGGGCAGTCAGACCGGCTTCCTGGAGAAAGCTGTCTGAGCCGCCCTCGCTAAATTGAATTAACTTGAATGATAATAAACCCTTCTTATCCATACCTTAAAAATACAACTATTTACAGCGACGGCATATTAAAATAAAATTCCTGAAGCAAACGTTGGAGAAAATTTCCCAGCGTGCCCTTTTAAACCTGGTGCTTGAGTCGAGTTACAGCGAGTGGGGAGATCAGTAGCGGGATGAAATTCTGGGGATCCCTCAGCTGCCGGGGAGCCCAGTGGACCAGCCCTGGCGGAAGCTGGGCTTTGGCCTTGTGCGGTTTTAAATACTGCATCGGTAAGGAGGTCAGTGTCACGCCCAGTACACCTAGAGGGCGCTCTAGCTCTGTCCTGTTCCTACCTCTCCTGTGATTATTCATGTCTTTCTGGTGTGTCTTGTTGTGGAGCATATTTACTTCCTGTGTCTGCTCTGCTCCTCGCTCAGCATTGAGGTTCAGGTGTCCTGAGACCTGCCTAGCACCAGGCCGCACTCCTGTCCATGGCCTGAGGGCGTAGGTTTCTATACGGCATTTCCTGAACAGCTGAGCCTTGCGCTATCCCCCGTCCCGCCGCTACGCATAGGGTCTTTTTCTGCTCTCCTGCCATTCCACGGCTCGTCCCTTCCGACATCCGTGACAGCCAGTTCTGTCCCCTGACGAGACTGAATCTCAGCCACCACCTGCTTTTCAGAACAAAACAGCGCCCCTCCCCAGACAACCCCCCCACCCCCACGAATCAAGGCCTGGGATACTCACCGTCCACTCTTCTTATTCCGATCCCCTGTCCTGTTGTCATTTCGATCCAGCTCCCTTTGGATACAGGAAATTCTGCAGCCGCATTTCCCTTTCTTTTTTTGTGTGGAAAATGTCTATTTCCTGCGGGCTCCATGGTCTTCATACCCTGATTTCTCATTTCTCCAGTGCCTGTTCTGTAGCCTGCACCTCATCATAGGAAGCATGACAGAAAATCAAGGGGGCTGAGTATCTTGTTCTAGAAAACTCTTTGAATTTACTTTCTCTGCCAGGACCCGAGAGAAGGAGGCATATTAGCGTTGCGCAGATGTGCAGCAGTGATATTATTCCTGACACCACTCCCTCTCACGCCAATGCTGAGAATTCCTTTATAGTGTAGAGACTCTTCATAGCCAAGCAATACCTGGAGAAATTTACTCTTGACCAATTCAACGGTACATGAAGTACAATACAAAGCCCACAGAACAGCCCATGTAAATGTTGACCAGAGATACTGTATGTGCCTCAAGATACAATGATACCTTAAATGCGATGTAAACCACTCCAGTTCTCAAGTCTTTTCAAGATTCCTCATGCCCTCTGCTTTCCCAGGCATGCTGGGCTGAAATGGAACCTCTGTGTGTTGCAGGTTGCTCAGATCATGCTCAGTTTATTCAACATCGGAATGTCTACCATCGGGTGTTTGACTGTCCAGCACAATTGCAAGGTGGAACTGGCATCCATTTTCGTTAGCCTTTGCGTAAGTATTTCCAGGAAGAGTAACAGAACACCAGAGAGATATGAAGTATGGGAAGAGGAACATTTACCAAGCACTAGCCTTCTTAGAACTCTAGAAAGCAGAGCCATCTATGTACTGTAGACCTGAAGAAGGCTGCACAGCTAAAATGTTGTTTAATTTCTTTACGTTTCAGCATAGAAGTACAGTATAATAATAATAATAATAATAATTGCTTACACTTGTATAGCGCTTTTCTGGACACTCCACTCAAAGCGCATTACAAGTAATGGGGATCCCCTCCACCACCACCAATGTGCAGCCCCACCTGGATGATGCAACAGCAGCCATAGTGCACCAGTACTCTCCCCACACACCAGCTCTCAGTGGGGAGGAGAGCAGAGTAATGAAGCCAATTCATAGAGGGGGATTATTAGGAGGCCATGATTGGTAAGGGCCAATGGGAAATTTGTCCAGGACGCCGGGGTTACACCCCTACTCTTTTCGAGAAACGCCCATTGATAATGATAATGCTTATGTGAGCTGCCACAGACAGCTGTTTTGTCCTTATTAGGGGTCACCAGCATGGCATAACCAACTATACATGATGTTGGCCATTTATTAAAATATTTTTTTTTTCTAAAGGTGAGACAATTATTATTATTGTCATTACCATCGACTTTATTTATGTGAAATGGAATTAGAAACCTGTTGAGACACTTCTGCTTTGCAGCAGTCAGAGACAGTATATCATGCTTATAGAGGCTTCTCTAAATTATTCTTGACAGTTCTGATTCTGGAGTCTTCTTCCTAATGTAGTTTTTGAACCAGCTGACACTTGGTTGTTCTTATGAAAGTTTTTTTTTTTGATAGAATGTAGAATGTGTTGGATAGACATAATGTGTACATATTTTATAGTCCGTCCACAAATCAAACTGACAGTAAGCTGCCAGCAGACAGAAGGTTTTGCCGGTGGACTAATTCTGTTCTCCCATGGTTGGTTCAGACAATTGCAGCTGGGAGCATATCGATTTCTGCCCAAGACCTCCATCTGCCAAAGGTAAGAGAATTAAAAGACTCCCACATTAGAATGAGCTAGACTGCATGTGTGGAATAAGTTAGTCATTGTCTAGCTGAAAATACTGCCCATTCAACTAAATTTTATCCCACTACTATACCTGAGTAATAGACCCCACCAGGGCTGTCTCAAGGGTCCTAATGCTCAAAATAAAGCTTAATTGCTTCCATGTGAAAATTTGATTTCCTAAACCAATTACCAATTAACTCTTAATTGCCTAATTAATCCCCACTGTAGCTAGAAACATGTACGTCAGCGGCCTTGTAGCGACCTCTAGTGGCCAAATAGCCATAATTACAGCCCTTTCTTTATCCGGCCTGTCACAACCTGCTGCACGCCAGACTTATGTTATTTTTTCTCTTTTTTTTTTGTTAATTGTAAAGGGGACAATGTGATGACATCATGTGAGGCATCCAGTTACAACCCTGCAGTTTTCTCAGTTTACAGTACAGGTTACAGTTATGTCTGATGTTGATGCTGTTGGTTTTCTAGGCCATAGAGTCACTGTGGTTCACTGCCGTGCAGCTTAGACTCCATTTTCTCATTGTGCGCCCCCTGCACATTTCCAACCACCGGTGAGAATGCACGCTGCTCATGTGTGAGATAGAAAGCCTGCAGTCCTGCTCTCGTGTGGATGTCGGAATGTAGCGATCCAGACTGAGGAAAGGTCACACTATAAACTCCTTGCGGATGCCTGCTAGGTCTTGCCTCAGTTGAAGCCAACTTATTCTCTTTAGCCTCATGGAGCATTGATTCAGGTTTGCCTTATCTGGATTTTTACAGATAACATTGAGAGTGCGCACGCACACACACACACCTCATAGTCTCCAAATATCTTTCACTTGACTATTTAACTCCGATTTTCTTCCTGCAGTTCACTACTTCAAACTTTGTTAAACAAAAAATTGTAATGCCTGTATTTTCACTGCTGCAAAGTTCTCTACACACTGGTCCTGGCCTGTGCAGGACTCGACAGGGAACACAAACTTCTCCATGGCTACAGACCTGGAAACCATTTCAGTTCAGCCCAATTAAGCCAATAACTGATTCCATGAATCATTAGGAGTGCAGGTTGGCCGAAAACCTGGAGATCCTGTGGCTCTGCAGAGCTGGAGCAAGGATCACTGTTTTGAGTCTTTCTTGTCGTGTCTGGCTGCAACTTTGTCACAATTACATTGTCTTGTAAACAACAACGACGACAAAACAATCCCACTATAATTTAACCTCTTTGCAACAACTGGGCCTCCTGGGAAAAACAATATGAATGCAGCCATGCTTACAAAACAAGAGCCCATGAGATCTAGTAGGATAATAACCTGAATTCCCCTTGCGTTTTTTGCACGCATGTACCATACTGTTAGGGACAGCCTTTAAGAAAATGCCAGAAAATAACACCAACACCTATTGCTGTAATCTGGGACGTTTTTAACACTCACTTTAAAGGAACATCCCACACAATGGCACCAAAGCAATAGTTCCTTCTTGGCAAGTACAAACGTATAGCAGCATATAACTGGGTCTAAAGTGTTAGAGCAAGGTATATTAGAATATTAAGAAATGACAAGAGGAATCTCTAATAATATTAGGACTGACCTACGTCCTACTATTGCCCGGGGCAGGTTAAAGGTGCCTTAACCTTAACCACACTTAAAGGTCTGTCCCATGTTATCCCGACTTCTTTAGAAAAAAAGAGCTATCCCATTTTTCTGAAAGAGCTCGATCTGTGCCTTGAAAATGGGGCCCGAGCATGCCAAACGTGCAGTGAAGAGGAAACGAGCGAGCTGGTTGATACCCATCGCAGTCTGTCTGTCCTCCCTGCAGCTCAAAGCCTGCCTGGCTCTGCAGATCATCGGCGGCGCTCTCCTCGTCGTCGTGTGGCCCCTGCACCTGGGCACCATAAACGTCGTCTATTCGTACAAGTTGTGCTGGACCGAGAGCAACATGACAGAAGCCAGAACCACCTTGTGCGACAGCTTCCAGGTGAGCTCACTCTCCTCTTCCTCACGGTATGAGCTACAGGAGCATAAAGGCAGGGACCCTTCAGATTCAGAGACGGTTTCTTCCCACACGCTGTCAGATTACTGAACTCGACCCCTACCGCTGGCTCACACTGAGGTTTTTGTATGTTATTTAATTTGGTGTTGTTTCTGCAGCTGTTCTGTGTTTGTGTTTGGTGATTCCTTTAATGTCTTTGTATTGGGGCACATGTGCAAACAGGCATTTGATTGCACTTGAGCATCTGACAATATACTGAACTGATCGGAAGAAGACTGTACGGAGACTAAGGAGGAAAGCCCTGTTCCCTGAGCTCATGCGGAGGACTGGACGACTGCAGTTTCAGAGCCGCGACAGGGAAAAGGGCATGGCCAAAAGCAAGTGGTAGGGCTTGGAGGGACTCCTTTACGGTGCAAATCCAGCCCCGGCATCCACTTGCTCGGATTGAAGAAGGACAATCACCCTTTTCAGAACTTCTGTATTATAGTAGAGATTGCATGACTTGTTGGAGTGTGTGCTCATTGTAAGATGTCTGTTGTGGAATCGAGTTGATTTGTCCCTGTCGTAAGATGGTCAGCCCCACAGAAAAGATTCTTGCATCGCATTTCTGGAGCCTCCTTCCTCCTTCCCAGGCAAAGAAAATGAGGACAGTAGATTAAGATTTTAGGATGTTCTCGGGGAGCACATGCATTAGAATTATTGGACTGTCAGCAATACCTGGAAAAGTTAAAATTCCAGGTGAAACTCAGTGTGGAACTGAGTTTTAAGGCCTCAGCCTTTGCGCTGACTGCCAACCGGGGGAGACTGGGGCATGCAGACAAGCTCCTTTGACACTTTGTGCTCCCCTGCACCTTACAGGAGAGGGGGTGCTGCCTGGAGGAGTGGGGTGTTTCTCACTGACACACTGTGAGCCCCCCCAGTGCCTGACAGGAGAAGGGGTGCTAACTGGACAAGTGGGGCATCTCTCAATGACACACTGTGAGCCCCCCAGTGCCTGACAGGAGGGGGGGTCCCAACTGGAGGAGTGTGGAGCGTCTCTCACCGACAGACTGTGAGCTCCTTCAATGGAGAGAGAGAAATGGCAAACATTTAGGGCCTGGATGGCGTGTTCCTCCATGGTGATCCCATTTACACAGGCTGCTGGTCACGCACATCTGACAGATCACGTAGGTGGTTATTGGTCGACCAGTACGCTGGGCGTCAACAACCAAAACTTCCTTTCTGTTCCTTTCCATTTCAAATCATGCCTCCTGCGTCAATCCGTAATGATCACTTGAGGTACCAACCCGAGTTGGTAATGCACCGGAAGGACCATCAGTCGTACCCTGGACTGAGCTGAAAGAGCCAGGGCTGGCCTCTCCTTGCTGCAGCTCTCCCGGTCTCTCACGCCTTTCCCCACTCTCTCCGACAGGCGGTGTACGGACGCATCAGTGCCGAGGGGGAGCTGGTGCAGGTGGCGCTCATAGCCGTGTGCATGACTCTGGCCGTCTACAGCGGCAAGGCCATCCAGTGCTGCGGCCAGGGATCCCGCATGGTAAAGGATGCTGGGAGTGTTGGGAGAGGGCGGGTGGAAGGGGGGGTTCGTTACTCAACTCATTTTTCTTTGACGCGTTGAGCCTCATTCACAGTGCTACGGCCTGTGCGTGACTACGGGGGGGGTGCAATATAGACGGTGCCGAAAATGAGATCAAGATCAGAGCTGTCCTTTGAGATGTGTCGCGAGGGGTTGGCGATATTCCATGGGGAAACTCGCTCGCTTTCGTTTTTTACGGGGGTGGTTTACTGAGCGTGTCTGCAAACCAGACTTCTGTCTCATTAAATCCAGTCTCAGAGTCTTAGCCCAAGTCTGAGTCTTCAATTAGTCTTAGTTATGACCTTAACCCAAGGTACAAACCTAAAATCCTCAAATCGAGCAGGAGCCAGGTAATTGGTGGAGAGTCACACTGAAACTGACAGTTTGACCGCAGCGCCGTGTTCCTCTCTTTAAACCCTTCTCTTGTCTGTTGCCTCTTTCCTGTTGTGCAGCCAGTGATCACGGTGAACAGCCCACCACCGCCCAGCCAGAGCAGCGAGGAGGTTTGGCAAGAGGCTGGCCAGTGACTCCCCCTCCTACAGCTCCACATGCCGCACAGCAGCTCCGAGGCCCCATTCCCACTGACCTGCTCTTCCCCTCACAGTGTCTTCCTGTAATCAGCTCTCCTGTCAACGAACCTCTGTGAAATAAGTGTCTCTCTAACAACATTGATGCACTAACAGGTTTATTACTCTAAGAGCTCCAGAGCTCTGTATTACTCAGTAGCTGCCTTAGTCTGAGGTATACTATAAATATGTTATAAATATCCCACATGACTAGGCTTCAACCAACAGGACTGGGCTTGAAGCAGAAAGATTTTCCTGTGGCTACTTATGTTATGATCCTATATTGTGTTATATCCGTCTGTGTCCCCCCTGATGCACTGTACTGACTCCAGTGCTCTCCCAACGCCAAAGGCAGCATGCTCTTAAAGTTGTGTCAGCAGCAAACCCTGGTGTGGCAAAAAGACAAGCTGTGCTAACACTGAGACCTCTGGTCAAAAGTCTGCCAAGGATCCAGACACTGAAGGGTTGAGAACAGCAGAACACAGCATGTCAAATGTGCCCAAGTGCAGGACAGGCTGTCATAGTCCATTTTAATGCTCTATTTGCCTAAAATGAATTAGTACTTCTGACATTCTGAGGCACCCCTGTCTGTTGGTGGACAACCAATCCTAAATAAATTCCCTAAACAAAATCCTTTTAGCTCCTACTTGTGACTCGTGAAACAGCCCCCTCTTTTGATCTTTTGATGTGAAGGAATTTTGTCCTTGAATCCTTTCAAGCTCCTTTTATCTAGACTGAAAGGATTAAGGTCTTCTGCCCTCTTCATACATGACAACTCCCTGAGACACAAAGCATCACTTTTTTTTTTCCTTCTCTGAACTCTCTTTGAACTTTTTCCCAGCCAGCAATAGCATACTTGTGGTTTGGTGACCAAATCTCACAATGACATTCTAAATGAGGCCTCACCAGTGCCTTGTAAAGCTAGAGGAGATCTTACCCTAATTTAATTGCACACTCGTGGCTGTACATCCAAGCACTGTCTGCTTTTTTCTTACCCACATTGTCTTGAGGTGTATATCTAGTAAATACCAAGACCCCTTTCATGCATATACCTGTAGCTCAGACAACTCCATTCTGCATGTAGTTTTCTGCTTCCTGCCTGGATCACATTGCACTAATGGTGGGGACATTTCACGTGTCCCTAATTCTCTCTGTGATTTCCTTGCGGCTGTTTCTGTGCGTCACTCGCTCCCCACTTCTGCCTCGCAAGTAAAGTGAACCTGTGAAGCTGCTGTATCAGAATCTAAATCATTGATCAGGATCGGGGAAAGAGCCATAGATCCCAACTGAGGCCTGCAGCATGTCGCTGCTTACAGCTGGAGATGGTGTCCCTTATGAAGAGGATTTTAAGGCCTGAAAGCAAATTTCATTGTTGCCTGGGCAACGTCAAGGAGCCCTAGGGGGTCCATTGTGGGGAGACGCCCTTTCTGTACCCCGAATTCAGCCAGCTGAGCAGCCACGGCCACCAACCCAGGGCCGTTACGTAGGGGCGGCCCCACACTGCCGCAAGGCCTCAGACAAGACTTTCGGGAAGCAGGGCACACCGGCCTGCTCACCAGTGTGGCGGATACTTTCTGAAGGAGACCTCCCCGTTTTAGGGTGCGTTTTCGGGAACGCATCTGCCACCCAGGTGCCGGAGCGAGGCGAAGGCCACCTCAACACCGCAAGGGCAGAAGAAAGGGGGTCTGGATTCCAAAAACCTCGAGCACGATCTGGCAACTCCAGGCCACATCAGTTCTCACTGCACCTCTGATCTTAATTGCTTAATTGAATTAATTATTTGGACCAGAAGCCGAATCGCCTCGTTTCTGGCCTTCAATCTTGCTAACTGGAACCTACCTGTGAAATGTTCTTGCGAAAGGACTTGAGCCAAACAAACGCACAACGGCGCACAGCATTTAAATGCCTTTTCTCACTGGCCAGCAGCACAGCCAGGCCATGGCCTCCATAAACATATTCATGACATCCTTCGGTCAGCTTCTCCCAGGGCAGGCTGGGAAAAATATGAGCCCCACCGCCCTTCCAAACCACTGCCGTTCAGTCCATGGGACACCCAGCACCTTCACTGTCAAATTCAGCCTGCTCATTGCCAATCAGCCAGTTAAGGAGCTGGCTGTAGTACATTTCGGCAAAACCCAGGTGTTGCAGCCCTGTCCTACAATGAGTCCAGAGAGGTTTCTAGTGCCCAGTACAAACAGGAAAAGAAAACTGTTGTTTATTGTCATTCTCTATTTATGATCGTACCCTCCTATATGATTTTACAACATCATAATCATATCAGTCATTATCAGATTTACTCTATATACTGATTTTATTTTTAATAACAGCTCACAATGTCTACTTACATTGACATCAACGTATACAGCTATGTGTTTAAATACTTTTAAAAAAGATTTATTGCATGGGTTCTACAAACATTTTTAAAAAGTCGGCTGTACATAGTATAATGCCATTAAAATTTTTTGGGGGGGAATTCTTGCGGCTGTTTATCAGATGTGATTACCCGCTTGATCCAGCCTCACTATGAAAATGGAGCTGCTGGTTTCCAGACATTCATCATCTTTGCCCAAGAGGCTGCACAGGGAGATGAAACACAGCTTAAGCAGTCTACACTGAGCACTGATGCACTCAGGCGCGCACCACAGTGTCAACAGCTTTCATGTGAAACAGGTTCACAGCTACATCTAGTAAATGTTGTTTACAGAACTATACTTGCTTATCGATGATCTGTATTTGAAGTTCACTGAGACCAGATTCGTCCTAGCAAGCAGCAAAAAACGAGTTTGAATTAGTGGAGTTTAGACAGGGGATTCAGATATTTCATCTTGAACACAGCAGGCCTAAAATTACAAAACAGAAGCTCCTGACACCCAGGGCTCTTGGTTAACTTCATGTCAATACTCCAGGAGGTGTTGCTGGTTTCCTAATCCAGGTTCTTATGACTGACGGTGCCTGCTGGTTTCATTCCAACCAATTATTTCATTGAGCCCCCAGCTTCAACTAACTCTTCACTAATTAGACCTTTCTGAATTCCTGTTCTGGAAATGTCAGCAGTTTTATTGTGTATTTGGAAGAAAAAAAATCACAAGTAATCTGGAAGCGTCATAATTGAAGTGGAGGAAATAATTAAAAAGAGTAGTTACTCAAGTAATTAATTCAATCGAGACACCAGCTGAACGCCTACAAGCCTAGCAAGACTAAGAGATGCTGTGGTAACCCAGACCAGGACTGGGTAGCTGCAGGAAGTGTGCAGGAAGGGTACACTGATTCAATCAAGCCTTACCTAACATAATCACTTGTGTGAGGTCCTGTACTGCCATTTTTTTAGAAGGCCTACAAAACCTGCAGACTACAGAGATCAGCTCTTGATCAAAGGGACATATAGCACAGATCTTTCCAGGTCTCAAACTGCTTTCCAGGTCCTGTACCGGCGACAAGCCAGTGCATTTTACAAATCGCCCATCGTACCACGGTTGGAGGAAAAGAGATAATCCATTTCCAAAATCCGCAAAACAGCTGGAGCGGTCAAGGTGCGCTAACCAGAAATCTTGTGGTCAGGCCTGCAGAGAGGCTGCTCTCTCCTTTGGAAACAGCAGCTGTGTTCTCCATGCTCATTGGCTGCGGCTCTCAGCTGTGTAGACACTTCCTGTCCAGATGTGGCATCATGGTTCCAATCACAGCTGCAGCTCGTCTGCCCAGTGACTCTGTAGAGCAAAACAAATGTGCAGACGTGCTGAAATAAATGCAGGCGTGCTTTTTGGGGTAAAAAAGGCAAAATTACCATTGCAGTACTAGACAAGAAGCATATTTTTCTAGAAAACCGCCTCTTGAACAGCTTTTAAAGAAGCCCAACAGAGTCTTGTGGGCCATGGGGTAAAACAGTCTTCCCAGCATTTTAGGAAGTGTTGAAATGTAAAGATGTAACTCTAGCATGAGAATCTGCAGTGAAGGAAGATACACAGTATAATGTGCTTAACACTCCCAATACCAGGCTAATTCTAAAGCTTTTCTGACTCTTCCTTTTGATTGACTTAGGTGAAGTCTAGTTCCAGCCAGAGACTGGCAGGAGCACTGTCAGTCTCAAGTGCTTTACGCCAATCTCCTCATTCCTGAGTCTTCAGAACCAACAAGGTCTTCTGTTTTGTTTTCCTACCTGAGCTCTTAATGACCTAAGTAAATCAGTTACTGTCCTAACCGGTCTTATTTGACATTGAAGGAGTTGAGTTCCAGATCAAACAAGCCGGGTTTTGGTTCTCCAAGAGCAGGAGACCTTAATAAACGCAGGCACCCACCCTTCACCCTTGACTCCGCAAGGGGAAAAGAAAGAGGGACAATTTTACACAACTAGTAATACATCTTCAGCACACTAAAGGAAAAAAACACTGTGAACTAGGCTCCAAAAGCCCATTTGTGGACAGCAGGTCCCAGATGTTGCTGCTGCTTGCCCTGTCCGACTGTGTACCAGGTCAACTAAGCTTCCTTCCAAAGCAAAATAAAAAAAAAAATCCTTCTGTCTCTCGATGCTGGTTGCCCACCTGGGAAGAAGCGCTAATTTCTTCTAAGTCTCCATAGCAACCCTTCTTGTAGCGGATCAGACTGCCCCAGAGCACTGGGGATTCACACCTGGAAAGAAGCACAAGAAAAGATTGCATGAGTAAAACCTTGTATCTTCCTTGTATCTTCAAAAAAATCTAAATAATATTTAATACAACACAGGTGTTCTATATTGCACAGTGTCCTGATGGAGTAAAATGGAAATGACATTTTAGAGACTAGAAGTAAGTTCCAGTTTAACCGCAGAGTTCATTTAAACAGAAAAAGATTAAATATGTGAGAATGCCCAATTGGGCCCATCCAGGTGTAGATATTTGATCGTCTTTGTGTTTAATGGTCATTTCTACTGTAAGTGTGTGGGTATCGGCTTCAACAGCATGTCTGCTCAGCTTATTCCAGACTCCTCCTGCCCTTTTTGTAACAAACTGCCGCCTCTTCTATGCCCTAAATGAATGTTTAGTGAAACGGTACCTTTGGGAATTCTGATTTTTTGGACTGAACTTGAACATCCCTCGAGATGAAAAGAGACAGGTTCGCATTTGTGCCGGACTGTGACTCACCCAGGACAAATCCCCTCCACAGGAAGCAGGTGGGCAGGCTCTGCCTGGAGGAAGTGCTTGGCCAAGCAGGTCACGTGACTGGTCATGTGACAAGAGGGGTGGAAACAGCAGAGCAGGTCTTCAGACAACTGGAAGGACAGAAGGAAGGCTGGAAATCAGGCTCTGAAAGGGAGGTGGAGAGAAGAACGTGGAATGGGGTAGAAAAGTGTGGGGGATGAGGGGGAGACAGAAAGGTTCCCATGTGCCTCAACCAGTAAACCAAAGGTCTACCTCCCTGGTCCAGCAGGACCCCAGTCTTACAGGTACCCCTAAACCACTCATTTCTAAATGTGGGAACACTTGCCATTTATTAACTGTCTAATTTAAGCAACCAAAGTCCTCAAGGGCTCAGGATCTTGGCTCCAAAAGACCTGTAACTTCATATAACAAATAAGTAGCAATTACTGATGAGTACATTTTTCCAATCCTTGAGGAAATACTGTTTCAATGCCTAGCTATAAAACTGGAGTTTTCTACATGCAGGGTTGGCGATGCCTGCAGAGAAGGAATTCGCTCAGAGCAGAGGTTGAGCTGGGAGTGTCCGTGGTGCCTGCCGTCGTTCCTTTCAGATCTTCAGGCTAATCGACACCAGCCGTGGGTCCCCCCCCCCACCCCCAGGCGCATCTCACTCCCATCTGCTGTTCCCATTGTAGCCCAGGCCACAATCTGCACTGGCAGCACATGTAGCGTGTCTGCCAAGGAGTTATTGTGTGGTATTCACGCAAGAGGCAGTGGAACCAGATGCAACAGGTCTTGAAATCTGGCATTAAGGAGGCTGTTGAACTAGCCGCTGACCTAACTGGGGCAGATCAACAGCTCTTCAGGTGCTATAGGTTGAAAGAGAGCTGCAAACCCTAGTGGACTGAGGCTCTCCAAAAACGGGGTTGACCAGAGAGAGGAAGAGGAAGAGAGATGCCGCTCAGGCAGCCGTACCTCGATGGACTCCCGACACAACACGCACTTCTCTGTGCCCGTGGCGAGTGTGCCCGGCTCCCGCCCGCTGGTCTTCTTGGCGCGGACACTCCCGAAGGCGATGGGCACGTGCAGGGGGGGCTGGAGGGCGGGTTCGAAGTCCAGCCGGTACTCCTGCTTGAGCCAGCGGGCGGTCAGGGGCAGCCGGCTCCAGGGCGCCACCCGCAGCATGTGGGAGACCACACGCCAGTGGAACTCCAGGCTGGACTCGCGGCGGGACTTGCGAGCCACGTGGGCCAGGCGGCGGGAAGAGTGCGGGTGCTGCCACGCCCACTCGAACTGTGGGGGGGGGGGAGGGGTTAGTGAGGGGAGTGTCCGTGTTCCCACAGTTACAAATCTGGTTCTGGGGGATAAGAATACCTTTGTGTGGCTGGTTTGTTAAAACTTCACGTTCTCAGGACTAGACAAATTCTAATGGATCAGAAAACCAAGTTATCCAGCATATCTGGCAGCACAAACGTATCCTTATTTCTATTCATTATATTTGGACACCTCATTGCTTACATCCGATAAGGATTCACCCTGCTGACAGGGTGAGAAGTATTTCTAAATACTATACGGAACCGGTCGTCATGAAGGACTCACCCGCAGAGCCGCAATGTCCGAAGGGAAGCCATGAATTATCAAGATCATCTCCCTGAATGGAAGAAAGACGACACCAGGAGACTGAGAGGCAACCACAACACCAAAGAGCATTCGATTGCAGAGCGGCTGGTGACACGGGCAGCTTTTTCATTTTTCTAGACTAGACTAGACTAGACTAGAAACCCTCGAGCAAGTGATCTCTGTTAGGCACAAGGCTAAGCACCAGGCAAGGCCCTCAAGGCCGAACACAAGGGGAACTGGGAGAGCATTCTGGGAAATGAGTGTGATGGGCGTGTCAGGATGGATGTGCCCCCTCATATGCCACCGGAGTATTTGTGGTTCACAGGAGTGAGAAGGTCACCCTTCCTTGACACAGATGACAGTGACTGTGGTGTGAGAACTCCTTTAGCCCTCCATGCTCTCCCCCTGACTGTGGATGGATGGATACATGGGAAAGCAGCCAATGGAGAGATGAGGACAAATAGCTGACAGATAAATATAGGCAGAAGGAGCACTTACTGCCTAAAAGGTGGCACACAGAAACAGAAAGACAAACTGATTAAGCAGATTAACAAGACCATCTGTTCCAATGACAAAGACACGTCCCCCAACCCCCAGGCCACCAACCCCCGCGTCCTCTCACCATGGACCACGCCCACTCGTCCTCTTGGCTCCGCCCCTCTGCCGCCCACCATTGTGCTGACCAATCCGGCGCTCCGGATTCACCGTGAACCCGATATAGATGCGGCCTTTGAACTTGGGGTTGGTGCAGTAGAGCATATACACCCCAAAAAAGTTCTCTACCTCCACCACCATCCTGCCGCCACCAGAGGGCACCAGTATCACAGGCCTGGAAGAGGAAACCACGTAATGATGCGAATTGTTGTCATCAAGATGTAAAATATGTACCAAACAATTAAAGTGTAAATAGTCAACTTCCAAAGCAGACTTTTTAGACCTTTTAGACCTTTTAAAGTCTAAAGGATCTTAACGTTCACGTCATGATGATCCAAATAGAGAACTCACTCAAAAACATTCACAAAATCTCCAATTAATATGACTATTTCGTCTTCATTATTAATATAGCTCTCAAGCAGAACAAATGACTTAATATCATTATTATGTATAATAAATTGCCCGGGCCCGTTCAATGAATGAATCATATACATTAGAATAGATAAAGAGGTTACAGTGCACAATGTACGAACAAGACCTCGTTTAGAATATTGTGTATAATGTAGGCCACCACGTTATTATATATATATAGTACCGCTCTGTAATCAGTCCAGGGAAAAGCGACCAAATACCGAAGCTAAAGAACTGAAGACGTTTTGTCTTGAACAAAGGAGACTACGGAAGGCATAAAAAGACACCAACTGGACACAAATCCAAACTACGGCGAAGGGCACTTAAAACCGAGAACCGTTTCACTCAGACGGCTGTGGAAGTCTGGAAAATGTACCCAACCGTGCTTTAGAAGCCGATACAGAACTGAGACTTGCTGGTCTACAGAAACTGTTGGATGAAATGCTCGGGTCAATAACCTACTAGCAACGCACCGATGGGCTGCATTACAGAAACTAATTAAATATGTTCTTATGCTCAACATATCGCTATAATGAATTGCAGACTCACCTCAGCACAAAAAGTCACAATAAATTATGCCATTTTGAATTATTGAACACCGCTAAACTGCTCAAGAGGGGTGTTTTAAAAAAAATCAACTACCCTGTCTAAAGCTGTCGACATTCTCGCCTGATATTTTATTTCTCCTCCTCTTGTTACTTTATAAACTAAAACGATAAAATATATTAGAAATAAAAGCATTTCCATGTTATCACATACTGCTTTCAAATGTCTTGGAAACAACGATTCGTTTTTCTCCCATTGATATTTTGTATTTAGCTCAGGCGTTTACGAAGGACAGCTAAAGAGTCCCCCTATCCGAAAACCACTGTGATTGGTCGTATCCTTCAAGCCCCTTAACTCCATGCTTTCTCCTCCCTGCTTGTAAAAGAAAAGAGCTCATTGGTGGCTATTGGAAGATAGTCCCGCCTTTATTGCCTACTTCGCCTACTATAGGTGGACATATACAAAGAGGCGGGGTTTCTTTCGTGACTCCTCCCTGCACAAAACCGGTAAGGGGAATAGGTCTATTAGGTTTCCTTACTTGATGTAGGCAGAATAAAATTGTGCTCGCACACCAATTCGTTCGGGAAATTAAAAAAAAAGTTTTATTTAATTTGTCAGTTTCCTCCTTCTCCGGCTGTAATGCCATGGCGATCACCGCTGAGCACATTCGCGAGAAGCTGACCGCGGAAATCGGTGCAGTGCATGTGGTAAGTTAGTATGATTGGCCAGCGGGAAAAATAATTGAAATAATCCCCTTTGAAACAGCCTTAAATACTATAAACGGTAATGACAGGGGTTTCTGATGTTCTGTTTAACATGTCAAGCTTCCGAAGACAAGGGCTTTATTTTTTTTTCTTCAATACATTATCCGACGTAATACGCAGTTCTTGCCTGTTCATGAACAAACAAACGCACTGCGTCTCGTTGTGAAAGTCCTTCCGTCCTCCTTGTTGCGGGAAAACAAACCGCAAACAAAAATAACACTAGAGATTGCGATTACAGCCCGTCATCCTCAGGCAACGAAGACATTTGGACAGTCTGAACTAAATCAGATGGCTATAGAGGAGACGGACCCGGCAGGCCTAGACCGCTGATCATCACGACTGGTCCAGGGGAGGTGGCGGCTGATCTCCTGGTTTTTATCCAGCCCCCGGTCTCTCAATGACTGGATTGGAATCAGTTGTTCTTGTAATTGGTGTAATTGGTTATATTAGCACTGTCCCACGTCTCTACTCAAAGAGGAATCAGGCCCGGTAAATGTCTGCACACCTGCTTTTCCTTCCAGCCCACCTTAATGAATTAACCCATTGCTTGACTGGAATAGTGGCAAGTTCATTCTGTCTACTCGAGAGATTATTTTTTTATTTGCACCATGCGATCATTAGAAACTCACGTTTGAGAGCTGAAAAGTCAGACAGCCCAGATGAAGTCTGTTATTAAGTCAATCAGGAATGGAATTTGTGGGCTGGAGCACACACCAGCAGGTGAGAGGGCCACCAGGACTGGGGAACCCCTAAAAATGAGGATACTGGATTCACGCAAGCATTCTGTACTGCATTGTCTTTGTTATAACTCATCTGCTTAGCAGATGCACTTATCAGAAGCTATTAACACCGTTTAGAAACTTTAACATTAGGTTTGATGCCAGTGCAGACAAGGTATGTGTACATTGAGCATGATGGTAAGAATTGGGCAGCAAATCTCCTGTCCCAGCAGGCCCCTGGGGTTTTATTCCAGACGATCTTTATTTTATTGAACTGCTTAAGCTACCAAGTTGAGTGGTTTGAACGCCTTGCTCTTTTTTCCCTACTGGACCATTAGTGTCGTAGCTTTTTACCGCACCACCGCTGCACAGGCAGCTGGACTGTGGGTCCCCAGTCCCAGGACTCAGAGCCCCTCTTCTTCTCCCGCAGGAAGTGGAGGACACGTCCCCCAATAGGTGTGCGGCGAGCTTCAAGGTGCTGGTGGTGTCGCCGCAGTTCGAGGGCAAGACGCTGCTGCAGAGACACAGGTACGGAGCAAACTGGCGACTGGGGGCTGGGGAAATCCCAATATTTCCCCAGTATCCAATATATACTGCATTTGCCAGCGGCTCTATCACCTGGCCTCTCACAACTTGGCAGCCCACTGAAGCTCAGCAGGTGTGAGCCCGGTCAGTACCTGGATGGGAGACCTCCTGGGAAAGCTAAGGCTGCTGCTGGAAGAGGTGTTAGTGGGGCCAGCAGGGGGCGCTCACCCTGCAGTCTGTGTGGGTCCTAAT